AATTTTCCATCTCCTGGATCTGAACAGTTACATCCTGTTGTCACACAGAGAATTTCGTCTCGCTCTTGTGCGGAACATGCTGGAAGGGGTCCACCTCGCCATCAATGGCCCAGGGGTCGAACCCGCCGTTTTATCGGAGATATCTCGATTATAGGAGGCCAAACCACATCACTGGCCGACTTCCTCTACTTCGCAATTGAGGTGTCGTGTGTGCTTTTCGCATGGGAAACGAAGAACCGTCTAGACAAAGTGAGTGAAGCGCGACGTCCGACCCTGGATTTCCAGATGTTTCCAAGATTTCCACACGAAGCCAACTTCCGTTAGACGACGGAGGTGCGAAGAGAGACAACTTATAAAGCTGGTGACCAAAAATCATGTAAGTAGAAGAAGAATTTATAACTTAAAATTAGATTTTAAAAAGCCGGCCGCACGCATGGAATGCGCGACGACATATGGCATCATTCGTCCCCTTGACTTTATTTTCATGACGCCATATGGTGTTGCTCGGCTCTTAAAGGTTAAAAGAATTCTGAAATTAAATTAAAATGGGCCTGCTAAGGTCGTATGTCAAAACACATGGACAACCAAAGGTTAAGAATGTAATAATGTTGAATGCCATTTTCTTAGTAACTCCAGTTATGCAAATAAGAGCTGTGAAAGCTATATTACTCTGTGATGTGGCCCAGGCATGTGCAAAAACAATCCTGCGTCCTCCTCCTTCAACATAAAACATCGTACACACTACAACAGTCAAACTAAAATAATTCCCTTTACTCTGCATCCTGTTGTGTTACAGAATCACTGCTACTGACCACAAAGTCATGTGACTTTACTCTCACTTTTTCACTTGCTGATAAATATTAAATGTTCTGGAAACATTTTGTTTTCAGTGCATATTCACAACAGTTGTGTCAGCAGAATGTCTAGCTTTACATGATATAGAGTAAATACAACACATATGACAAGCAACTTTAGACTTACGGTTAGAATACACAAAATGTGTATCACTGAAAGATTCATACTTACTGAACCTTGAAGGAAAAAGCAACAGAGAGTAATGCGAAGCTGGAATGTTGCAACAATTATGATTAACAGAAACTACAATAACAAAAACATAAGTGGTGATACTGTTTGATAAAAACATTTATTTTATGTGACCATACTGCATATTTTCACATCATATTTGTATAACTGAACAGACTGTTTGGTGAACTGAATGAGTGAGATGTTCAAATGAAGCTTATATGACCACAATTTTGTTCTATGTACTCACATTACAGTGCAGCATAATCACATATAAAGATAACTATGAAGCATCAAATGTACAAACCTCTAAATACTTTTTTGTTCCTGGCTGAGCACAGTGGTAAGCAATGATGGATGGGAACTGGCCCTGCAGTACAGCTTCCGCAGACTTGTTGGCAAGTGTAGTTGAAAACACGAAGATCTGACTCTGTTGCTGCATATATTGTGCTTCCATGGTACCGGGCTGCTTATTGATGACATTACTAGGAAGAGGCTGTACTCCGTTAGGTGGAGGACCTGAACTGGAGAGTGATATGCCCAGTGATACATTTCCTTCACTACATGGATCAGCTGCAAGAAGACACAAACACAAACTTTCACAAAGAGCTTTTATAAACCTATGTTGGGGTCTGAACATAACGGGTATATTTGTAGGCGACTGCAGATTATGAACTGTAAAGTAATGTACTGTGAGGGAGGATCTAACTTTATTAACCCTTCATCATGGTTTCACATATGCCACATACTAGGTACTTAAACACCCATACTTGCAGTCACATACATCATATGTTTTATTGGAAGCTAATTTCTCTGCCCTCTAGATAAGGAACAAAATTGTCTATCGAGAGGGGTTTGCAATAAGCTATGAGATAAATTAACTCTTTATTTATGTACCAGTGACATCAGTTATAGAGCAACTGATGACTCAGGTCTACTACCAGTCATTATCAACAGGCCTTCAACCAGCTATACACTTACAGAGTTTGAAATTAGTGAAGGTGTAAATAAAGTATTAGACGATAACTTGGGGGGTGTAGTCTGTGTGATGACAGTAACTTTGATCATGATTCCCACCAAGTGGTTACTCCTGGAACACACATAGCTAGCAACAATGCCAATGTAAATGATGGCAACAAGAAAGGAACCAGATAATATACTGATGAACAAGGCTTGGAGTGGGAGGAGTGCCAATGAAGTTATATAGCCAGGTATCTGAACATTACTTGCAGCCTTAGAACCATTTTCTGATATCCACAGTCCACAGTCTGACACATCCAACTGGATATATTGGGAAACATTTCCGAAACAACGAATATGCAGCTAACAGTATATGAAAACAACAAATATCCACAGCAAAAAAATTGGAAAACTACTGGTCCTTTTATATGTTCTCTAGAATTAGGTAGAGAAAAATGTCACAATGGATAAAATATATGTTGTTTCAGCTATGTTTACACTCTTGGGGATAGTACAAAAGCCAGAACTTTAGTCATACTATTCAAAGAACCATCTACCGTTCACTCCATTTTTTCAGAAACTCAACAACTAAAAAGAGTGGCACTAACACAAAATATCATCCACTTTTCTGAAAACAGTAAATAATTAATTCAAAGACCCTCCAAAATTATTCAGAATTTACTCAGTTATTCAGCGTCTGAATCTCAAAATCTGTGCCAGCTGAACTAGAACGCACTGTAACATGACGGCTGAAAACCAGAATAGTGGAATGAGTAGAAGTGGTTATTGCTAGGCAGCAGCACTGTAAACATGTTCCCGTGATAACACATGCTGATGCAACAACAGAGGATGTGGTTTTCTATGCAGTCCATGTCAATACTATATGAGGACCAGCAGTAGCAGTCGGCCAGTCCCACAGTTCTGAGACAATAAAATATGGTCGTTGAGTCCCATCAAGACTATATGAGGACCAGCAGTAGCAGTCAGCCAGTCCCAGAGTTCTGAGACAATAAAATATGGTCGTTGAATCCCAAGGGACTCACAAACAATAATAACTGTGCTGGTGGGGCCAGCAGCAATTTATCCAAGGCTCAAGACCTAGTCAGTCATTCAGTCTGCTGCATGACTCCCAGTGTCATGCCATAGTAATATATGGTAATAAGTCCCGCAGGACTCACAACCAAGGAGGAATGTGCTGGCAAGGGTCAGCAGCAATTTACTAGACAAACAGGGTCAGTCAGTTGTGAGTTGAAAGTGAGAAACTGTAATTCGTGGTTAGACTTACAGAATCTCCACTATTAAAAGCTGCTGCCTAGTAGTGCCTAGTGACATCAGAATGATAATCAGAAACTACTGTATTTGCTGTAGCTGTAGTGATTCATAGAATGTGTAAATTAATGAGACTGTTATAATCATTTGTAGTTATGAGTTATCCAATAGTTGCAATTATTGATCCAAACTCCATGTCTAGTCACTAGTTTGTTGCACTAAATATTGCTAAAGGCTGCAAAGTTTAATATACGTAGGTCGTACTGAAAGTCACGAGCAACTTTTTTTTGCATGCAACCTGGGAACAGCAGACAAAAGAGAGTATGGTGGTAGGTGGAACCAGCTGTTGTGTTAACCCTGGGTGTCTTGTGACATCAATAGCTTGCATCACGTGACCAGTATCACTCCTAACAAAATGGCTGACAACAATATGTCGTTTCGCCAGTGTGCTGTCATTGAATTTCTTGTGAAAGAGGAAATCCCTGCTGCAGAAATTCACCAGAGATTTCAGCATGCTTATGGAAGTGTGTGCATGGGTGCAAGTAGTGTTCGAAGATGGGTGAAACATTTTAAAGATGGAAACACCAGCATCGAAGATGAGCCTCGGAGCGGTCGTCCTCGAACAGACTCAACTCAACACAACAAGGAAAGAGTGGATGAGATCATTCAAGACGACAGACGTGTGACTGTGGACACAATAGTCTGAAAACTTGGAATAGGGCACAGTGCAGTACAGCAGATGACTGAAAGCTTGGGCTATAGGAAAGTTTGTGCTCTCTGGGTCCCGCGGTTATTGACCGAAGACCACAAAGGTCAGCGAAAAGCCATCACCTCAGAACTGCTGCAGAGATAATGACAGGAAGGCAATGAATTTTTGCTCATGATTTATTCTAACCATCTTACAGTGCATACATTTATTCACCTTACTCTTCTCTCTTGCACTACATGTTTCAGCACAAAAGTGCCATCTTCAGGTGCTTTTCGATGTACGTCAAACTACTTCATTGCATGCCGTTGTCTTTATACTAAAATAACTAAAATATATATTCGTCATATATATTGATAAATTTTAAATATTAAAAATATTAAAACTGTTCAGGATTTGTCATCCTTATGTCGTATCTCAATACGCGAGTCACACCTATCTTCTTCTATCGGAGTATTCTTCCTACTTTCGTGTGTGTATTGTGCTTTGTGTTGTGTCTTGCTCCTGTGACTGAGTGTGTTATACTGCTGGGCCTGCTGGGTATGTGTGTGTGTGCTATCTTCGTTTTGATCGAGTTTTGCTCTGTATTGTGACAGGTGATGAAAGCTGGTTTCACTATTTCGAGCCTGAAACGAAACGGCAGAGTATCGAATGGCACCACTTGCATTCTCCATAAAAAAAGAGGGCAAAGACGGTGCCATCAGCTGCGAAGGTGATGGGCACAATCTTCTGGGATGCAGAGGGGTTTATTCTGGCCGAATTCCTGGAACCTGGGCAAACCATCAATGCTGCTCGTTATGTCGAGACGCTGCACAAGCTCCATCGTGCATTGTGCGATAAACGTCTGGAATGAAACATCATTATCCTGCATGACAACGATCACCCCCACGCCCCTAACCTCACATTGGAAGCAATTGCAAAGATGGGGTGGGAAGTTCTACCACACCCCTCCTATAGCCCTGATCTGGCACCCTCCGACTACCATCTTTTTGGATTTGTGAAGGATCAGCTGCGTGGACGTTTTGAGACAAGGGAGGCAATTCAGAAAGCACTGTGTCAGTGTCTTCGGATGGCTGGAATGGAATTTTACAGAAGGGGAATTTTCAAACTCCCAGAACGGTGTGAGAAATGTGTACAAAGAAGTGGCGATTATGTGGAAAAATAAAGAAAGGTCTGTAGATTGAGGTGGTGTATTTGGTTTGTCAATAATAAAGCATGTTACTTTACAAAAAACTGTTGCTCATGACTTTCAGTATGACCCTTGTAAAATCATTCAAACTCTATGACTCTATCACAAGATGTCTGGAGTTTCCTTATTCATACAGGGCAAGGCATGGCATGGAACTGAAACTGTTCAGTCCCCCAATAATACTACAAATGTACAATGGTTAAGGGCACATGCACAAGCAAAATTTGCAGTTTTGACAACAGTATCCATTACATGAGTCATCTTCAAACTTTCTGCACACAATGCTTCTTGATGAAGAACACAGTGGAGACTAAAGAAAGAAGTGATTCCCTCAAAGTCTTTACTTTTTCCTTTACAATTCTGGTGCAATGCCATTACTTTTGTCAATCATAGCCCCAGCCCTGCCACTAATAAACCCTTCCATTTTCCCCCAAAAAACAATTCATATTTGCGAAAAATGGTCGCCAATTCCAAAAAAAAAAAAAATAATAATCAACACCTCTGTTCCTTTCATAGGGACCAGAACTGAAAGTTCCACCACAAACTGGAAGTCCTCTTTGACATACCTAACAAAAACATCAAGCTGCACAACATGTGTAACATCTGTACTCTCATCAATTACAATAGATTATGTCACAAAATCTTGATGCATTTTTTTTAAGCTGACACTGTATATCTTCTGCCAAGTAATTCACACGATCAGTCACTGTGTTTCCAGAAAGACTGAGGGCCTTAAAAAGTTGATGGTGTTTAGGACAAATTATTTCTGCTGCATTCAGTATACATTCATTCCATACTCATCAACTGTGAATGGTTTTATTTTCTTTGCCATAATTCGACAAACAGCAGCATTTCCACGAACTCATCTTGCATTTGATTTAGTAGCAATGGGAAATATATTCCATTACCACTGCAGATCAGATTTAAGATTCTGTAATTTGTCTTCTCTTCACTTCACTTCCAGGGCACCAAAAATATCTTTGTAATGATGGTGCAGATTGTATTCTTTTGGCATACTTGCCCACTTATTGCAAATGAGGCAAACAATATTTTCACACAGTACTCTAAGAAGGTACATATTTTCCACTTTTCTTTAAAAACATGGCCCTCATCTCCTAATTTCCTCTTCTTACTTTCTGATACACAGCATAAAATAAAAAACCACAGCACACACAGACTCTACTCAATAGCCAGATTTAGTTACAGAAGAGAAAAATGTAACACGACTGGGTACAATGGTTACAGTCACCCAAATACAATATAGCCTCCAAAAACACAGGCTACAACTCCGGTCAGCAATGTTTTGTAAAACACCTTGTACAGAAAAGAAGATGAAGCTGGAGGCAATACGTTCCACCAAAACATCAGTTCACATGAGATCTACACAGCGCACATCCCAGAAGATGGCATTCTTCACAGTCACCATTGTGAAATCTTTACACCTTACATAGGGGTCATGCCATGTGAAGTCATCCAGAGAGTTCACTCACCATTTTTAAAAAAATTAATATTTTGTATACTTATTTCTACATATTTTCACACTTCAAAAATATTTAAAAAAAACTGTAATCTGCTCGGTTCACCCAGTACAGCTGTTTTTATAATGCGAAAAAAGCGTTTTTGGCTGAAATGGCGGTTTGCGTTATAGTCCATATGAGGAACAAATTGGTTTCTTATTGGAGTCTCTAGCTTCAATAGTTATCGAGATATTGGAGATAACGCAAACCTCAATTTCAGCCGAAAATGCGTTTTTTCGCATTATAAAGACTTCCCTATTAGTTGAATATCAAAGTTGTAATTTTAACTCCCTGTTACTCTAGAATAGGACATTATTTGCTATGCGTTTCAAACTTCTTGGGGCTTCCCCACCGGAGATATGAGATGCTAAAAATGGCCGATTTTGGGCCCAGAGCAAAGTTTGGAAGCTCCTGGAAAATTGTGGACAATAGGTACAGAGTTCAAAACTACGTGATTATAATCCTCATGTAAGTAACAACAAAGGGTAGAAACCACAGATCTGATACTATCCCCTTCCCATTGGTTTCTGAAGGTGAAAAATAGCGTTCTTCCCAAAATCGATATGTAAGTTTCAAGTTTAATTACACCTAGAGGAACTGAGTTGAGTAAAAACTTGTAATGACATAATTTGTAGTCCATATCATGAGAAACAAATTGGTTTTTCATTTGAGTCTCTAGCTTCAATAGTTATCGAGATATAGAAGATAACGCAAACCTCCATTTGAGCCGAAAACGCGTTTTTTCGCATTATAAAAACGGTTGTACCGGGAGAACCGAGCGAATTACAATTTTTTTAAAAATATTTTTGAAGTGTGAAAGTATGTAGAAATAAGTGTACAAAACATTAACTTTTTTAAAAATGGTGAGCGACCTCTCTGGATGACTTCACATGGAATGACCCATAGTAAATTTGTACTCTGCTAAATTTTACACACAATATAAATAGTTCTAAATGGGAAATTTATGACAGGACTACTACTTTTAATTAAATTTGTGGCCAGCAGTGATCATAAAGTACCTGCAGCTTTTCAAATATTGTCTTTCACCACTGTAAAATAGTTTCTTGGTGTTAACACTGTCACTGAATGATGACCATGTGAGGACCACTTTAGCTTATTGTTCTCCAGGAGAAAACAACGGGAAATGCTCAACTCCATGGCAGCATTTACTGTCTGAAGTGTATAACAAGAACAAGATCAATGGAAGGGCTGCATAAAATGAATTAGCAGGCCATGTGTTTGAGGCCCCTGGTTTAAAGACTTCAACACAAAAATTAGACGGACATATGAGGGAGAGTCAGTAAATAGGTCACAAATGGATACAAAATGTAAAACACTGATATTTGAACCTGGAAAAACATTCAGTTCTCGACATATCCTCCACCAACACTGATACACTTGTCCCATCACTCCACCAGTGCATCAAAACCCATAGTACAGAAGTCTTTTGACTATTGTCTCAGCCACTTATGTGTCCCCCTTTCAACCTCTTCATCACAAGTGAAACATTTGTCACCAAGGTTCAGCCACTTTACATGATAAACACTTCCCACTTTAAACCAGAAACATTTCTTTATGAATATCTTTTCCACAGAGTCCTTTGGCCCACAAAAAACTGCTCTTCAGTAGCACACCAAGCATGGTTGCCATTTTCACTACTGAAACCAGCCTCTGAACATGCACACGTGCATCTGCAACCTAGACCGTTATGAAGCTGTACTGAGTGCCAGTAATATTCTGGGTGTTGTTAAGAGCAGAAAGTGTGTAAGGCTCACAACCTCACCACCATCTTTGAGCCAATTATTTAAACAATGTGGAAGCCCCGACGTCTCATAACCCTATGAACCTTTGCAGCCTGTTACAGGGATAGCTGTAATCTCTTTACTTGCTTGTACTGAGCGGCTCAATAAGTATATGGTTATGAAAAGAAAATGTGATCTTTCCATGACCTGAAATGACACATCTCTGCTGAGCAACATTCTCACAGGTAGTAGACCATGAAAAAGAAATACTATGGTCATTCCACTTCTTCTTCTTATATAAGTATACGAAGAAAGAAGAATAAATTAACCTCTACAATGAAAGCCAATTTGTAAGAGTACTCACCATTACTGAATTCATGATTGGTACTGCCATTAATTTCAGTCTTAACTGTATTGCATGATGTAGGTTTGTCTTGGGAACTGCTCTCCTCAGGTTTTGTTCCTAAAAACATAAAATAAATTAACTGTATCAATTCTCAACCTGCCACCCCAATAAGTTTTCTCATAACACGAATGAAAGTGATCAATTATTTATTACATGCTCTTAATAGTGATTACAAACTCAGGACATTTCACTAAACTATGCAGAAATTACTTCATTTCAACACAACACTTTTAATGAAAAAACTAATATATATGACAATAAACTCCGTCCTAAGTGCAACAATTTATTGTAGTCCTTTTGTCTTGCTTTCTTCTACACTACATGTTTCTGCTGCAAACGGCCATCATCAGGTGCATACTCTCACGTAGCTGCTACACGGCATGTAGTTTAAAATTTAAAAAACACCAGTCTTTCCAATTGTTCATTTTGCCGTTACTAACAGGTTTCGATATATCGGAAACTTCCCTGCTGATATCCGTCAGATATGTACAAAATCTTTGTTAACCTACACATATTAAAGATAAGAAGCGGCACGCACACAGGAAGCCTACACAGAAACATACCTGAACAGTGCTGAAAACAAGAAGTAGTCGCTGCAGCACTATAGACATAGGGTTGGTAACCCTGAGAATTTTAAATTTTAAAATTTTAAAAAATTTTAAAGAAATTTTTAAAAATGGAATTGAAGATTNTTAAAAGTGCCAGTTTATGAAAATCAAATTGACGTGTGTAGGTTAACAAAGATATTGTACAAATCAGACAGATATCAGCGGGGAAGATTCTGATATATCGAAACCTGTTAACAATAGCGAAATGAACAATTGGGAAGACTAGTGTTTTTTAAATTTTAAACTACATGCCGTGTAGCAGCTACGTGAGAGTATACACCTGATGATGAAACATGGCTGAAACATGTAGTGTAGAAGAAAGCAAGACGAAAGAACTACAATAAACTGTTGCACTTAGGACGGAGTTTGTTGTCATATACTGTGTAGAGTGTAACAGGATGCTTAAATAATATTGAAAAAACAATAACTGGAAAACAGCATACTCAAGCATCTATTAAAGTGTTCTAATAGTCTATCACAGCTGGGTGTACAGCACTCCACTTTTGTACTGGGCAAGGTCTGAGTTCAAATCTTGGTCCAAAGACTGGCTATAGAAATTAATATATTTCACTGTTATTTTCAGTTCCTCCTGGCAAATACTTGAGCAGAACCTCAGACTGTTAGACCATCACCACTCCTCCCATATCATTTACAGTTATTCACAAAACCATCCTTCCTTTAGATGGTATATCCTTGAAGTCTGGGCTACTCGCAGCATCGTTTAGGAAATAAAATATCAAAAGAGTAGTTGAATCAGGCAGTGAGATGTACAAAACACTTTAAAGAAATGAATGTATCGGGCATGCAATGCATGTAAGAATTATGTGACACATTTTTTCATTTGGCCACAGAAGAAATCTTATATATATTGTGACTTGTAAATCTATTGCTAGGCAATGCCCACAACAGACACACACAGCCAACAATAATGGACCTGTGTTTTCTCTATGCCCATGCAGATACACATGCTCGATGTCATCACACAACAATACTGAAGCAGAGTTTTCTTTGTGTCCATGCAACTTGCACATGCATGGTGATGTCTCTCAACACAGGGTAGCAATCATGTGACGTGTTTTCTGTGATGCATGTCCGAGCTGAGTCTATATAAGGAAACCAGTTTATCGGAACAGAGCGTAAAGAGAATGGGAATTCATTTCAGTTCTCGGTAGGAGATAGCCATGGTAACTTCACAGTTAAAGAAGAATTAGAAGTCACCTGTGAAGACTTAACGTGTGAATTGAAGACTTTATGTGTGTGCTGTAGTAGTGTAATATTGGAATTGATTTGGTGAGACTTTTATAGTTCATGTTATAAACCCAATGCCAGGAAATAGATAATGAATAGTAGTGGATACACACTGAGCAGATTAGCATGGAGTGATCTGTAGGGTGAAAATTAGTAACAGTGATATACTTAGTTGTAGTTACAACTTGTAAGTGGTCAATAAATATAATTATCAATCTGATCCCCATCTATAGTCACTAAATCATGTGACAACTGGTGTCAGAAGTGGTTGGATTGGCTGAATTACTGAATTTAAGATAGCATCGTGTAGTTATATCACATTATGGAGACGAAATAGATAATGGAAATGCCGGCCAAAATGAATGCTAACCAAGAAGAAACAAAAGCCAACCAATATGAAAACCATGCAAGAAAACACAGATGCTGACCAAGAAAAACTGAAGGCACATATGAAAGCCTTTAATGAAATGAGGGACAGAAGGGAGACCGAAAGAAAAGCCTATGACAGGAAGATGATGGACAAGTGGGAAGCCGACCAAGATACAAGGAAGGCTCAATGGAAAGCCAACAGAGAAGTGATGGAGAGGTTGGAAACCATTCACAACAAGACAGACGCCAATCAGACGAGAATGGAACCTGAAATGGAACATCAAGAGAACATGGATGCCTGGATAGCGGACATGAAGGATGGTCAAAAAGAGACTGGTGTGCCAAGAGGTGAGGGAGGCCAATCGACAGAAGGTGGAGCCCAATCCAGGAGGAAAGGAGGCCACAGTGAAACGGGAGGACATTCCTAATGAAGAGGCCGCATTTCACTCCCTGAGGGCATGCCAAGAAGAGAGGATTGCCTGCCAAAGAACGATGGAGGCATGTCTGGAATGCTAGGAGCCAACCTTAGTGGACATGGAATCTGAAGTAGAAAATCATGAGGTTGTAATCGAAGAGGCTGCAGTGAAAACTTCGGAAACAATGAAGAAGCAGCACAGGGGCCGGCATCTAGCTACAGGACAACGCAGGAAGACAAAGGAACTTACCCAAAGAAATTGTGGATCCCAGAGGAAGTTGGATGCTGCCAGCAGGAGGAAGACCCGCCATGCAGCATTGGGACGGCGCAAGGGTTCAACCAGGTCAATGTGGTACAAGAAACCTGGAAAGGACAGAGACGTTGGAAGGGCCCAGAATGCAACAATGACATAAGGGACTGAGGCCTAAGACAGCAAGCAAATAAATGACCTAGGCAGCAGACAGCCACTATGTCTGAGTGAGCCGTCCGGTCACAGGAAACAACTTGCTTGCTAACGTGGTGGCCGCAGACTTCCCAAGTTGACACAGGGACTTCAGGAAAAGAAAACCGTGGAACAAGCCTGGTTAATTAGGGGGAGGGCGAGTTTCGGACCAGAATCAAATGGAGTCGTAAACAAGCCAGGCTATGGTGAAATAACCGTATTAGCAGGGCACAGGCTCAACACAAGTTGGTAACAAAATACATATATATATATATATATTGTAAAATAATATGAGATAGGCCACAGGCATAAATAATACAAAATACAAACAAAATAATGACTATGAACTCCTCAAAAAGATAAAGGACATTAACAGAATGGTCACACACGCAACGCTATCTTCTTTTACAATACTTACGTAAGTATAATACAAACCAAAACAGTTTTACCTTGCGACGAGCCATAACCTTCTACTATGATTCGCGAGGACTCAATTCCCAGACCTCATGCTTATGGCCGAGACATAATTTCTGAACAAATAGTTTAGCCAAAACACAATTTCGCAGCCAAGGGCACGAACTGCACACCTGAGGTCTACCAGGGAAAGGAGATCGAAGGACCAGCCACACACACTGGGGTCGGACTGGAAGGAATGAGGGGGGGGACACCTCACAACTACGTCACCAAAGAGCTTAATAAGGAAGATGGAAACATACCTTCTGCAGAACACTTGGGTAGACGGAGAGGGTCCAAAGACCCTAACTGTAAGGAACCTTTAACCACAGTACATGAGGAAGAAGACAACAACCATGATTGGCATCAGAGGGAGGAGCTCAGGCCAGTGATCATATCTGGGAAGCGGAGGAACACTCAAGAAGACTCTAAATGAGATTACCAGATTGAAAATGGTGAAAAAAAAATAGTGGATGTGGAAAACGAAAAACTGGACTTTGCAGAGAGGTCAGCCCCCTCCAGAGCACGAATTAAGGAACAGGAAGTTGTGGAGAGGTCGACCTCCTCTGAAATGGAAAAAGAAATTGCACACAGAGCAGGAGCCAGTAATGTAGAACCACTGGCCACTTGGGATAGTCTTGCCCCCGCCACTGGAAGAGAGAAAGAAAAAGTCTTTGGATGAAGGTGACACACTTGGATCTACTGGCACCTTAGCAGTCAGCTGCTCGCAGGCAGGAGCAATGCTAGCAGTCGGAGAATGAACAACACTGAGGGGAAAACTGAGCAACTTGAAGAAATGTGAGATGTCACAACCAGAGATGTCAGAAAGGAAGGAACAGTAACATACTTGTAGGCTATTTGGGATGAACAACCTTAAGGAGGGAGCAATGTGAACACACACAAGGCCAATAATATGGAACAATGTTTTCTGTGTACGCGCTGCTTGTGCATGCCTTATGGCTGCACACAGTATTGTAGCAGTGTTTTCTTTGTGTCTGTGCAGCCTGCGCATGCATTATAATGTCACACGATACAGGATAGCAACCACGAGACATGTAATTCTGTATTTGAGCATCCTGTTGCAGCCATATTAATGCAGTAATGCAACAAACTGTTCCTTTTTCTGCCAATTACACTTTTTTTAAAACAGCATGTTTCGGCCTGGGGACACGGAGTAGCATAGTTGGTTGAGGCACTATACTACAAGCCAGAAAGTCATGGGTTCAAGTCCCATGCGGCCATTCGAGTTTTTTCAATTGACCTAATCCTTCAAACCACACTATGGCCCTGGGGTCGACTCAGCCTCTAACAGAAATGAGTACCAGGAATATTCTTGGAATATTTTGGGGGGTAAAGCACGGCTGGTGCATAAGGCTGACAACCTTGCCGCCATCTATGAGCTGATTGTCTAGAAAATGTGGGAACCTCAATATCTCACAACCTTATGGGCCTCCACAGCCTGTTACTGGCATACCTTTACTTACTTTTTACATGTTTAGGCCTAAGATGGCCATTTTCAGGGGTTTTAATATATAAGCGCACATTAATGCACTGTAGCAGTTTTAATATATTAAGACACCTGAAGATGGCCATCTAGGACCAAAATATATCGTGTTAAAAGTGTAAGTGGAAGAAAAAGGAACAATTTGTTGCATTATTGACGGACTGTGTTATACATACACGAGACGTGTTTTTAGTGATGCGTGTCTGAGCCGCATCTATATAAGGAAACCATTCTCAAAGAGCGGGGCATTAAGAGAATGGGAATTCAGTTCAGTTCTCGGTAGAAAACAGATACAGGAAGTTTGTAGTTGAAGAAAAATTAGAAGTCAGCCTGTGAAGACTTAACGTTTGAATTGAATACTTTATGCATGCTGTAATACAGTGATACTGGAAATGTGTAATTTAGTGAGAGTTTTATAGTTCCTGTATTATAAATCTGTTGACAGAAAAAGGATAGTGAAGACTAGTGGAAACAGACTGAGACTCTTGGCACCAAGCGTGCACAGAAAACACAGCCCCTCTACTGTTGCATGGTACAGACCCCACAGAAAACGCATGTTAGGTGTCAGACTGCAAGTTCATTGGCTCATTACAAGCAGTGTGCATGGTGTGGATGACACAGAAAAAACAGCCTTATCTACTGTGACGTGTTGGACCATGTTTATAGTGCTGTTGCCTGGTAACACACTGACCAAATCCATTACAATATCAATGATATTATGACACTGTTTAACCCTGCTGCCTTGATATTTCCATTATCATACATTGCAATGTTCAACTTCAGTCCACATCAAGAAATAATCATCTTTCACTGTGTCATTTAACTTCATTTATTAGGCAATGAAAACATATTTTTCTTGCACTGTCTTAAAACTGCATTACTTTAGGAAATGATGACAAAATTATGTACAGCAACAGGTATAAATTTGTAGGGATATGTCTGAATTCTGAATGAAGATATATTCTTTTTCATTAAAAGAGTGAAGAAAAAAGAAGTACATATTGTAGCATGTAGGGCTGTTACTAGGTGGTGACCGAAGAACAAACAGGTTCAAACATAACAATAGAGGAACTGCTGGAAACTATGTTTTCTACATGGTCCGTGCTGAGATGTGATAGACAAGTTTAGAAGTCAGTTATAAGGGAGTCTGTGAAGCAAAGACTAGGAAGTTGGTGTGAGATGGCTGTCAGCCTGGGAGTTAGTTAAGTGTAATTGTGGGTTATTTGTTGGACTGTAATGAAATGAGCACAGAAACTGAAGAATCTTCATTGTTAAGATCCATTACTGGGAAACAACTAGTAAAAGCAGTTTGAGAAGGCTCAGCATGCATTCTAGTAATTTTTAAAGTGTGGAGATTAGTGATAGTGCTATAATTATGTGCAGTCATGAGTCGTGTATTGAAGCGGTCAATAAATCCAAACCCCATCTACAGACAGTAATAAATGTGACAATATACTATTAAAGTAACTTTGGATGTCCTGTACGAAACTTCTAATTTGATTCGCAACTATAAATATGAAAAACAGTCATTTTCAGAGTATGTCAGCTTTCGAACAATTGTTGTTTCATATATACTCTGTACAGAGCTGACATAGTCAAAAGCGTAAGTGCTATTGTCAAAATGATCCTTCCTATTTATGTAATTAAATTATCATGCTCATGACCAGCATATATGGGAAGAAAAATATTTTGGGTTCTGCAAAAAGTTCCACAGAGGGATTTTAAATACCTTCCATACACCATGGTTAGTTAATATATCAAGAACTCACCTTCTTGTGCACCATCCACCAAGCAGAGGTCACTTGTTATATGAGTAGCTGAAGATGATCGAACAGGACCCATGGTCACTGTCCCAGTATTCGTTGAACCAATGAGGCTGGGCTTTATGTCAGCATGACCACAACTTGAGCTGCTCCCTGTAGCACTATTTCCACCACTCACCCGTATTCCATTCTTTTTGCAACTAGTGTCCCCTTCCTCCCCACTATTCACATGGGACTCTGTCCCTGGCTCTTCTTTCACTGCAGTTTCTGAACTCTGCCCCTGTGAGCTAGGAAGCTCAGTCTTAACAGATGCATTACTGCCATTCTTCTCCCGTTGTTTATCTTTACTTTCTTTAATCATGCTACAGTTGTGCAATATAAAAAGAAAACATTAACCTAAAACAGAAAAGCAATATAAGGTATGATTACAATTTAGCCAGTAAAGTTCTAATTATTTAAGTCTGAATCCATTCACTTGTTAATAACATTTATGGTCTTTCATGTAACTAATAAGGAACCACTTACTGGTTTCAATAAATTTATGTCTCACAATATGGAGATCAAATAGCATCTCTCAGGTGATACACTAACATATTTCTGGTAAATTCAATTTGATACCGGTAAAATAAAAATATGACAAATTATTTGTCCATATCCAAGACTTCAATTTCTCAAGAACTATGACATAAATTTAATAAGACATATATCAAAATACATACTGTGGTGTTTTCTTATGAATCCATGTAGTCTGGTAGGTGGATACCCTGAAACAGAAGGAAGCGTGTTCTTCCAAAGCAGTGGTACCCACCCACATGACTACAAAATATCATGACCCAAAAGGCCACAATACACATTTAATAAGTTACTCTTTAAAATTATTTACAAAACATATTGTGAAATTTCACCAAGTCATGGGATCAGCCTCTTGGATTTCTAAAATTCCTGAATACATCACTGTAATTATTCTTTAATGGGTTACAGAAGACAAAAGCATACAAAATCAAAGGTCCTTCATTTAAATTTGAGCTCTGACGAGTCTTCTCATTTTAGTATTCAAATTCATGTCACAATATAAATTTAAAATAAAGCTGATTATTTTTTTCATTAGCTACATTGATTATAAAGGTCTGAAGAACATTCTACTTTTACCGAGCAAATGCCTGGAATTGTAGGACTTGAGGTTTTCCCAGGGGTGGTGATGAACAGTTCTATCTTCTGGGACATAACTCCCTGTAGTCCACTGAACGTTAACTGACGTTTTGGCAGAACATGCCATTTTGGGTCAAGAATAAGACAAAAAAGAAACTAACAGGAATCAGACAGATAGCTTCATGCTGGTTTCTTGCTTGGTTTATTGTTTGACACTGAAATGGAGGTGACATGTTCCTCCAAATGATCAGTTGACTTCAATGGACTATACAGTATTATATCTCAGAAGACACAACTCTTGAAATGCCTGAAATTCTTTCATAAATCCCTTGTTTGAGTCAAATTTTGAGACTAGTTACCTTGAAAACGATGATTTATGAATTTCCTCTCTTGTTCCCGCCATATAAAAGAGAGTACCTTCAAATATACAACTCTTTATTAAGTCTGTCACAACACAACAATACAGTGTTCAAGGCTAAGCTAGCTTTGCTACATGTTTCAGCTATTCATAGCCACCATCAGGCAAATACACGATCATCATGTTTACACACTAGTGAACTGCAATTGCGTAGTAAGTCTGGATACTTGACAATTATCATATTATAAAACACATGGTATAAAAATTATAATGAAATATAAACTTATTATAAAACAAGAGTTATTTTGTAAAATAAGGTTAAAACTATTCAAGTGATAATCTATATCATGAAGTCAGTCATTGCAATCTTCTGTTTTCCTGTGGACATGGTATATTCTAGACCAGTACTGCCCAACGTTCTTATGTACTCGGGCACAATTCACTGATGCCTATGGAGGTGCGGGCGCCACCACACTACTACTACTACTACTACTACTACTACTACTAATAATAATAATAATAATAAAATATTTCAAAACTATTTAACAGTACTCAGACGTTCAAAAATGTCTCTTGTCTTACAATATGAATTAATATTAAAAATCGGCTCAATTATATGTGGTTACGGAGGGCGCCAGAAAAATATACCATGGGCGCCGCGTTGGACAGGGCTGTTCAAGACTTTTATATGGTAAACTGTTTGGAGGCCTGTGAAGTATAGTTTTAACATTAATTGTTTGGTCAGTGCTTCATCGTACGATGTATTTATGTCCATTCTGTAGGGAATACAGATTGCAAACTGTATGCAATTGCAGTTCACTAGTGTGTAAACATGATGATCATGTATTTGCCTGATGATGGCTATGAATAGCTGAAACATGTAGCAAAGCTAACTTAGCCTTGAACACTGCATTGTTGTGTTGTGACGGACTTAATAAAGAGTCATATATAATAACACAACAGGATGCACGAAATGAAAAATTACCTTCAAATAGCCCATTATATCCTCACCTAACTTCTTTCCCAATTCACTACCTCTATTTAATTATGTATATCTTCAAAAGTTGATACAATTTGACCTCAGAGACAAAGTTTTCTTAATGACAAATAATGAATTTCAATCTAAATTGACATAAAAACAAAACAAAATCTATTAACATGCTACACTCTTGTGTCTGTAGTCATATTAGACCATTCTTTCCACAGGTGTCTATGCACCTTCTTATGTAGTAGTAAATATGTGTCTTTGAACTGAATAAAACATACAACAAACTCAAAATGAAAATGACTAAACACTGAGCATAAAAGAGTAGTTTTGGGTTTCACAGATAACAGCGAAAAATTACTCAAAGTAGACTGATTCTAAAGGCTTGGGAGAACTACAGCAGCAAAAGGAAACAACAATCATGGAACAGAGATGAATCTCTTTAATATTCTTGTACTGAAATGTTTCACAAAATGCGACACAATAGACACTTTAGTCACCAAGCTAACAGCCGAGTATGTAGTTCCTATGGCCACAAAAATACGAAATGTTAACACCATTTTCTGCAAGCTGACAGCATCTGTGTGGAAACACAAGTGGCCAACACAGCCAGGTTTCACTGTATGAGATTCTATGAGCAAACTTGCTAGTTTCAAATGTCAAATGTTTACTCACTACTGCATGGTTTCAGAACATGACACTACTTTCACACACACACACACACACACACACGCGCGCGCGCACGCACGCACACACAAAAGTGTAAATTTCTTAATTCCCAATTATGTACCATTACACAAATAGTCCAAATGTATATGTATCCTAACCTTGTCTTCTACTGCAGCAATTCTTGTTTATTTTCTTGCTTTTGTTTTGTTTTTACCTGTTTTTCTTTTTGTGTGAACAGAGATTATTCTTTTATCCTCATTGGTTTGTTTCTTCTGTTTGGGATACAGACTAGTTTTATGTTCTTTGAGAAGTTTAATGTCTACTTAGTTGACAATAACAATTATTTTGGAATGGGGGGAGTCACTTCTTTGTTTGCTTATATTTTCTATTTCTTTTTGAGCTGCTTGATCCTTAGTGCAAAGGCACTAACTAGACAAATATTTACCCTCCAAAAAAGGGCTGTTAAGATATATGGCAGCGTTAACACTGGAATCATGTAGAGGCAGATTTAGGCAACTAAAGAACAGTATACTCACTATACATTCAAGAAACATGCAAATGTGCTGTAAATAAACACATATGTATGTATAATGACTATCATAAGAATGTACATACTTTGGAACTTTGTAACAATAAACCATCAGTAGCAGGTTGTATCTTCCATAAAAATTGCCTAACAACATAAAACAAATTGGTAACACCAAACTTATTAAGGGTTTGTATTACTCAATATAAGATTATCTCATTGAAGAATTCCATAATATTAGCTACTGGTAAGCAGATGTATAGAACAAGCTATATTTCTAATAAGTTTATTCCATAATTGTTAATGTATTTCAATAATAATATTGATGGACACGTCTTATATCAACGTATTTTGGTCTAAGAATAAATTGAAAATGAATGATTCTGACTTGTTTTTTAAACAATTAATGACACCCTGGAGAGCCTGTGTGCGAATTTTCACACTGCGTGAGAGTGTGCGCAGGGGGGGGGGGACAAAGAGAGAGAGAGAAATCTTACTTACATATGTTTCATATAAGCATTGTGTTCTACAATTACAGACAAGCAGAAATGTTCATATAAATATATAGACACAACTGCTTCATTGGAGAGAGGCATAACCATAAAACTAGCAAAGCAGTCACTCAGTCTACAGACTTCTAAAGTTCTAGAGTTTCGGTGATCACCATGGTAGATGCATTATATATTGTAGCAAGTAGACCCAGTGCTACGTAATGGCCCATACACACACAACAGAGGAACACATTAAAACCAGGGTGATAATCATACAACAGAAGAGATGTTGCAAGAAGTGTACTCTGTGGCTCCGCGCTCCAAGGCTATATGACTCAACCAACGAAGTTCATTTAGTGAGTACAATGCAGCTGAGCACACTGGCATGAAGTTAGTTGGTGGTTGGTGAGCAGTCAGAGGACTGCTGTGGCTCAGTCCTTATGAGCTGCTGCTGTTAGAAGCTGGTAGCTGAGGCATGGGGATATTTTAGGAACCCAGAGTAACGGGAGAGTCTGTTGTTGAAAGCTGTTACCAGGCAATGACTTGTGGAGATCGTAACAGACTCAGAACACTAGCGTGTGTGTAGCAGTGAACTGTAAAGTGTAGACACGAGTCGTGTGCTAAAGTCTTTGATAAACTGAATCACCAATCCAAACTCCATCTGTAGTCACTCATACATGTAACAATATCAAAGAATGGCACAGAATGAGGAGTATTCATTCTACAAATTAACATATGATAATTACTGCATGGAGAAACAGTGAAACAGTGCAGCTACTATATGTTGAAAGTTATCTGCAATGGAGGCACGCAAATTGCAGGACATCAATTTCACTAAAATGTCATCTGCAAGAAACAGGTTGTTTGCAGCCTAATATGACAAGCAGTGGTAAACCACAAAGTCACAGGAGCGCCAATGTGGAAGATGTTTTCTGAGCAATCTAATGATCCCTTGGCACAAGTACAGGCAGCTGTCCTGCCTTCACCACAAGATTAGAGGAAAATTATATGAGCTTTATGTGTTATATGTCATATCTATACATCACAGTCATTTGCCCATACACTATGCTAAGCTAGAGGCATACTGCCATGATTTCGCAAATGTTCTCCACACAAACATATTGCTGTTAAAACAATACACAGCATATTTCACTTCAGAGTGAGCAGTTCTCATTGTATAAAGGTTCGTCATATCAAAACTGCAGCCAGACAGACAGACATGCAAATATCATTAGCATTTCCACTTGGTCATTCTTAAATAATGATTCTGTATCCACATTTTGGAAAGTCCTGGTGACACTGAAAAAAGAATTACTACAAATACAAAGATTATAACAACTATAGAAATAACAATCACTACCCTCATTCATCACTGATGCCTTCTAACTTACTTTTTGTTAGTAAAGACATATTATTTACCTCACTAGATCTCACATCTAGTGGCAGTCGCAAACAAGGCTGAATTCATAAAGAAAATTTTACTTCAACATATACATATGAGGTTATCTGACGGCCTGTTGAAAATCTTGCAACAAATCCAGTGAGGGGGACATACACTACTCACATCAACTCACACAACATACATTTTGACTCCTAACATATCTGACACACCATTAGCCAGTACACAGCAATTGCTCTTTAATATCACTCAAATAAATCTCTGAATAGCTACCATGAAGTGACTTTTATGTTGCATGCCTCTATCACTGTAGTGATGTCCAATCTGCCCCATTACTTATTGTATCAAAATGGCATGAGAGGGCTACATGCTGAAACCTGTGATCACACACAATACCATGCCTTCCAGCACAACTCCCAGGATGACAGTGTTACACAACTATTCATATAGTCATAAATAAATTTAAACACACAGGGGCATTACTGAAAAAAAAAAAAAAATCAAAATGCCACATGCTCATTTAAGCGAACTTGGAT